CAACAGCTTAGTAATCGTAAGCTATAACTCATTTTCTTAATTTCCCATCATTCACACTTTTTGTGCCACAAAATTACTTAATAATTCGAAAAATCACAAATCATTTGTTGGAATTAGCTCGTTATCTTCGCTGCACTGCTATGGCAGGCAATGAGGCAACAGAAAAAAACAACCAAACTTAACAAGGAAAGCACAAAAAAAGATAGAATTGCAAGCGAACGCGATGAGTACCCAAAAGCAACAAAATGTTGGCGCTGACTGTGATTTTATTATTTTTGGCAACTGGCCAAAACAATTTATCTGCTTTGAAACAATGCACGCGCAGAGACACACACGAACTACATGGACGCAGAAATAAACCAATAAGCGCACATTTTTTACCACAGAAAGCTTCCAGCGGAGCGCGCGCGCGGTCGCCGGATAATAGTGCAGAGAAACTGCCAGTTTCCAAAGAGTCCGACGTTTGCGCGATAGGCGCGCTTTCTATTGAGTTGTCACACACGCGACACACTCGCTCGCAAGCATTCACAAAAAGCACGCCACGAAGCGATTGCACGACACAAATTGGAAATGCATATGTCAGCAGCAGGGTTAACAGTGCGGCAAGCCTAAATCGTAGTAAATTAAGTTAAAAATAGTAGTAGAAAACAAAATTTTGTAGTGGATTTTTTACACATAGCTCCTTTACAAATATATACACATTTAAATGCATAGGGGTTAACCCATGTCAAATCCACCAATGGCTGGAGTCGACCATTTTTGATTTGGATGAATTTTGGTCAGAATTTTTCTTTTAACATATAAAGAGTTCTGCAAAAAAAGATAGAATAAAAATTTTTTCAACATTTCGAAATTTCCTGATTTACTTTTATAATATCTCCAAAACTATTACTATATACTATATCGAGTGCTGAGTGGAAGATCGACCTATCTCGGCAGCCAGTTCGAAAACGCCCTATCTCAAAAAACTTTTCAAGAACGCCCTATTTCAGAATTCGTTTCAAAAACGCCCTATCTCAGCTGCCGATTCAAAATCGCCCTATGTCAGCACATTTTCAATACATTTTGAAGTAAAATAGGGCATTTTGGAACCGAATTCTGAGATAGGGCGTTTTTCAATAAAACTCTGAAATAGGGCGTTCTTGAAAAGTTTTTTGAGATAGGGCGTTTTCGAACTGGCTGTCGAGATAGGTCGATCTTCCACTCAGCAGTCGATATGTAGTTACAAAATAGTGACACTGATACTGATAGTGATAATTTTATGTTACACCTATGCCCGATTTCGGCTTAGGTCCTCATCCTGAGGGACTGAAAACATCACTACTGCAACGTTATGTGTGCTTTTGCACAAGCGGCAAGAATTTCTCACTCACTTTTTTCGAAAGCTTTTTAAAATAAAAAATAAAAAAACTGTACCGCATGTCCCGTTGGTCCCAAAATCTATCACTAAGGAAAATTCTCATGGCTTTCAAATTAACTTTAAATATGTAATTAAAAAAAAATATGAAAGATCTTAACTTCCGATTATTTTGTTTTGGTTTGCTTTGCTTTTCGTTTTCGCTTCTTTTTGAATCATTAAAAAGTGCATATTTCATACAATGTTTTAGAGAAGATTTTCTGAATATGCGGAGGTTGCGGTTTTACAGGGAGTGTCGGGGAAGGATTTTGGTCCCATCCCGTCCGCAAAATTTTTACAAACTTGGCCGATACCGCCCATCTCAGCCATTTTGAACTCAGTACCGTGGGTCTCGCGGATCCCGATATCCCGCGCCCATCTCTAATTTCAACCATTACTCTATTTGACAAGTCAACTATGTAATACGAAAATTTAGTAAATTCTTTTTTAAATAACCTACGTCTGTAATTTTTAAAACGATAGACAACACGACCTTTACATTTGCTTCGAGTTCAGTTGATGCAATAGGCGAAATTTATTTTTGTAAGAAAATCGAAGTAGGTTGTAGGAGATGCGGAGTAGCGCAATACAGTTCTAACCCTGGTCCGCAGGCTGGATCGCGCTGCGCATACAAAATTTGTATGCTGTGTGTGTGTGTGCGCGGGCTTTTTGGAACGTGCTGCACCGTTATCTCTATTTTATATGGTTCTATTTTGCTTTGTTATACGCTTTCTGATGACTGATTACGAGCTTTTGCCAAAAATCGCTTACAAAAATAAATACTCGTACTACACGTACTATATGTACGTGCATAGTATGTAGTATGTATGGAAGTACTTACATTTGTATAAACTATGCAGTGGAAACTACTATTAGCGAACTATTAGGATTCCTCCAATTTGCGTTGCAGTTCAACTGGTCCATTTTTTTAATATTGCACTATTATCTTGAATTCTTAGCCCGGCCATGTCCTTAAAATGTTACGCTTTCTTTGTAACTCCCGGTAGCGTTTACTGAGATGATTCGTTGGTATTTGCAAAGCTCTCAGACCTGCCGATGGATCTGCATACTAAATCTGGACTTAGACGGAGGCTAAAGTCAATCAATTGAATAAATCCTGATTTATCGCCGACGATGAATTTTGAAGGCCGTCCGCATCAGGACAAGAAAGCGAAATATGTACTCAAGCCCATCTTAATCCGTACAGTCAGTTCACGACAGACCTTTCGAGTCGAAAACTCAATTGAGAGTGCAGATTGTTGGGTTAATTTAAGCGAGCATCACGATTGACTGAACTATTTGATCAAACTGGTCTCAGGTCTAGGCGCGTCTTTATATTTATACGGTTTAACATGAAAATGTGCCTAGTGTTTTCTTAGGTCATTTACGTGTCTCATTGCTGAGGAGCTACAGTTTCTCGTTATCGCGGCTGTTAACCTACCGACAACCTTTTTTTTACCCCTTACCTCTGAAAATCTCGGTTGACATAGCCAAACAGGCCATAGAAGGCAAGAGATGGAGCGCAGGGTACCGGGCAATAGGTAATACTGCTAAACATAAAGAACGCATTTAATACTGCGAGCTGGCAGCGCACAATGGAAACTCTCATTGGAGTAGAAGCTCCGAGATATATCATAAAAATAATTAGAAGCTATCTATCAAACCGCCAGATAAACTACGGGAGCGATACGGGCCTCTGAGACAGTACTGTGCGTCGTTTGGATTTCTCAAATCCCAATTATTCCATCGAATATGCTATTTGAACAATTTTTGACTCCCTTCTCATTTTGCGTTCGCTTATCCCCTTATTGGTGGTTATTGGAAATATGGTCTTAAAATCTTGAAAGTCATGATTTTTCACATGGCCAACTCAATGTTGCCCACAGAAGGCAAAATATCGTAGAGCTTTAAACATTTTGAGGAAGTATGCAACGTTTTTTCCTACGTCTTAAATCCGAGTTTTAAACCTAATTAAAAGACATCGTATTATTAATCTAAAAAATAGGCCTTAGTATATCTTATTATAACTATGTATTAGTAAAATATAAACTAAGTAATTTACATTTTTTAGACTTACATCTTAGCAAAAAAATCCGAGTTCTACCAGTCAATTTACCTTTGGTAGTAGTGGACCTTTTTACCCTAAAAACAGTTTTCCATAAGTACTCAATCACAACGTAGAAAAAAAAAGATTGCATACTTACAGGCAAAATGTTAATAATTCCTAAATTTTTTGATCTCTGTCGACTCTTATGTTAGGTTAGGTTAAGCGGGCTGACCACAAGAGGTCTCATATAGACGAATATAATGGTCATAGCATTAATCGTATGTTATGTTATTCGTATTAAAAATTTTGTCTGAGAAGACCGCTAGTAAAATCTCACGAGCAATAATTTTCTGGGACAATTTAATCCTCATTCCCGAACAAAGTATTTTGTTAAGCTATCAGTTTTAACCCTTTCTTTCACCTTTTCAAAAGCCATTCAGGAACCAAATAAAGAATTGTTTTGTCCTCGAAATGTATTTTTGACTTAAGAGTGCCAAAAAAAAAACGCGTTGATTTTTCATAATTGACGACTTTTGCATTTTTTTTTTTATACAGGTCTAAAATTGTATGGGCTACAAAATTGTATATCCAAAAAAGTTCTAAAGACTCAGATTAAAAAGTTTGAAATTAAAAACAAAAAAATTATTATTACTAAATGAAGTTAGAACATGAAATTTTACTTAAAAAACATTGTGAATATTTCCAAAAAAATCAACATGTGATCACATATATGTACAATCATTTAATTTTAGAAATCTTCAAAATCTCCAAACGGACTCGAACCTGGGACTTTGGAACCGGGAGTACACTTATTTGTTAGCCTTTATGCGATGCCAACACCGACGCTGAAAGTGCTAAGGCATCCCATTCCAATTAATCGACTAGTTAGTTGCTACTGACTGATCTAGTAGTTGGGAATATTTACTGCCTGGTTTGGCCTTCCACTGCCGCCTGAGTGCCAGTGCAAGTATTTTTAGCTTACAGGCAGTACAATGAATTTATAAAATCTAGCATGTAGGTTTAAATACCTAGAAATTTTAGCATATTTTTGGGCGCCCACTGCAATTGTTGTGATACAGGTGAAATTGTTTGTGATAAAAGCGCATTGTATGTAGTCAGTGTGCCAGCCCGCGGCGCTGCATAGAAAATGGAAATTATTTTATTGAATGCTATTTATGCTATTTGAGTTTCGATGCATATATTTTGGTGCTTTATTTTTTTTTGCTATGCAGATGGAGGGCATTTGGATGGTGGAATTTTTATTTTCAATTTTTTTTCCTTTCTTTTCGCCGCCTTTTTTGTTACTTTTGCTCTATTCCATCGCAATTTGATAATCGCCAAGCACATTTTTCAACAGCAATTCAATTTTGTTGTTGCCGCGACGCTTCGCAAGCCTTGCTTTTAATGTTGGTGCTATGCACTCAATAAATTTTCATGTCGGAGTCTATTAAAAATTGTTCATTTTTGCCATCCACCACAGTCAGTGTTGGCAAAGGGGGTAAACAAAAAAAAAATTGCATGAAATTGTATTTTTCCTTTTCAAGTATTTTTCCTTACCATTTATGTAGTAGCTGTCCAAAATTGTTAGTGTACAGCAGTTAAGCGCGCGGTATGCTGGTAGTATCTATTGAAAACGAGCGCGTCGCCTAAAATTTTGCTATGCTTGTTTTTTTATTATTTTATTGTGCAATTCATTCAGCAAACACACACTCACTTTGGTATTTCACACCTTTGCAACATCGTAATTCTATTTAGCATTTTACACTTGCTTACTCGTTTGCCCTTTTTGCTTTTTTCGGAACTTTTTTCTTTTCGCTAAAACTTTACTGTTGGCCTTCTCATTATTTCGCTCTCATACTTTTACATTTAAATTCCTCACTTTACGTTCACATGCAACCTTTTTTTTTTTTTTTTTTTTTTTTTTTAATGTCGCACCTTTTTATTGTTGTTGCTTGCGCAGCCTTTTAAGCTTATTTGGTGCTTTGGTGGCACACTGAGGCGGAAAATGTTTAGCCTTTTATTCAATTTTGTTCTACGAGTATTTTTTTTATTATACTTTTCAAATTTTTATTTCTTTTGTTCGGTCAAAGCGACGCACACTTGCGCCTAACCTTGCACTAACTAGCGTCGCCAGCACTTCAATTCGGCTCACAGCATCCGTTACAGTTCAGCTACATACATTTCGTTTTTATTTTTTTTACGTTTTTCTGTTGAATTTTTTATGAGCACGGCAACAGCATCAACGAAAATTTCGAAAAATGCCACTTAAAGTACTTTACTTAGTTTATCCGAAAGGCACCTTGACCCACCGACCGCGCACACTTAGTGCCTACACCGTCGAACTTAATCCGCCGCCACCGCCGTCGCCGTGAGCGATACTTTTTCGCACGCGCACCGTAAACCTCTATTCATCACCGAGCGCGTAGAACGACGCGAACATTCAACAGCTTATATATGTACATATGTATGTATATACGGTTAGCTTAGAAAACTGTTAGCATATTTTTAGGCGTATACGTATTTTCATTTAATGTCAGTATACTTTTAGGCGTATACGTGTGGGACACTAAAATACATTAAATTCCAACTCAACACCATTACACAACAAACTTGCATACATATGTATGTATATATATGTGTGGGCTTGTTTGGGCGCGCTTATTTGTATCCTCAGCTAGTTATATATGTATACCTTAATGTAAATGCAAATCCTTTTCCGTATAGCATTTAGTTTGCACACACACACACCCTATCCGACCATTAACCGACCGACCATCAGCAGCTCCACCATTACTACTACCACCGCCTGCGGCAGCCGCATTGCCACCTTTGCCAATGTTAATGCCATTTAATCTCAAATAGTCACAAGCCCGAAAACCCAAAAAGCAAGCATGCACACTAACTGTTACCGTTAAACAGGCACCCGAGCATACATATGTATGTATGTGTCCGTCATGTGTGTGTGTGTGTGTGTGTGTGTGTTTGTTTTAGTAAATATCTAATCTGCAATGGTAGGTGGTAGTTTGCTGTTGCTTTTGTTGTTGCTCACCACACTATCTAAAACTACATATGTTAATGTATGTGTGTATGTGTGTTGCACATAAGCCAAATCAAATCACAACTACCACATAATGGCCCACTGTTTATAGCCTATGTGTCTTCACACACAGTCTCCATTGCCTTTACTGTCATTATTTTATATCTTATCCTTTTCTCCCGTTTGCTTTTCGTTTTCTTTTATCCGCTAAACACGTCCAAACTGTTCGAAATGCCGGCTATGACTGACTTCTAAAGTCGGTTTCACAGCTTTGTATCATCTTAATTTTGGCCGTTCGCCATCATGCTGCGTCGGTGTCGGCATAGGCGTCGGCGGCGGCGGCGGCGTCGGCGTCGGCGTTAGCGCCTGCAACAGCAACCTCGACGTTGTTGTTGTAGTCACTGCACCTACTTCATATTAACATCCATCCTCGCAGTCATAGTTCAATTCATCGCAGCAGCGTTTTGTTTTTGTCACTTCACGTGTTTTTGTTGTTGCTGCCACTGCTCGGTTATCAGTTGTCGACCGCACTGCTGCTGCAGTCCGTGTACAACGCCTCTGTATTTGTTACCCTTTTTCACTTGTAACTGTTGCAAGCCAACAATCCGTATAGGCACACACACACGCGCACATACATTCACTTACACACCTACACACCTACACTGTTAATTTGATGTTCCACCCTACACCACCCACTACACATAAGCCTGCTATTAGTATGCGCTTTGCTCTTACCCTCATACATGCAGCCTCGCTTGGCTCTCTTAATTCAACAATATGCTCTCTTTTATATCTGTCTGTCTGGCATTCGTTTTGTATTTGGTTTAGTTGGCTATGTTGTTTTACTTTTATGCGCGCGCGCGCATACACACAGGCACACCCACGCGGTAGTAAGCTGTTGTTGTACCTATTTGTTTAGTATGCAAATAGGCGCATTGCATCCCTCAGCTGCCAAGAGATTAGTATGCTGGTGTAGGCAATAATACAATAAAGGTCTTCACACCCATTACTGTAGTTTTGATGAACTGCTAGTTGGTACTCAGTAATTTTATCAACTGTGAACATCCATTTCAGCTAGACTTTTGTTAGTCTGGTGAACTATCTATATATAAAATCTATATAAATATATAATAAGCGAAAGGATTATTTGTCCAGGACAAAAGATTTGCACCGTTCACTCGATTCTCAATAATGGGGTCTCAAATTAAAGCACTTGGCCTGTAGATGTGCAAACTGGTTTTTTTTTTTCGAAAAGAGTTGCCACCTGTGAACAATTAAATTCCAAATATTTAATAAACATGTCATCTGCACACCGTTCGTTCGATTTTCCAAAATAAGGTGCCAAATTAAAAGTCACAGACTGCAGATGTGCAATAAGGTTTTGCTTTTTTGAAAAGAGTTGCCACCTTTAAAAAAATATATAATCAAATTGTTGAAAAAAATCCATTATTACAAAATGTGTATCACTCAAAATGGGTTTGAAAAGCTTTGATTCTAATTTAACTATAGGAGGGTTGCCACCTGTTTAAAAAATAAAATCTAATTTAAATAAAGGGAATTAGGTAAGAGGAGTATGTATCACCACATGGATGCCAAACGAAAGCGTTTTCAGAAGGTAATAGTTTGAAAATATTTTTAAGAGGGTTGCCACCTGCTTGAAATGTCGAATTTAGTTAATTTATACAGAAGGTGTACGAAATATCAAAACATGGATGCCAGACGATAGAGTGTTAAGAAATCTTTAGTTTGATATCTTTTAGTTTAACTTAGTTTGTGTTTAATTTGATTTTAGCTTAGTTGAAAGAGTGTTGCCATCTGTTTAAAAACTTTAATTCAAGTTATTTAAAATAGGTTACATGAATTATTAGAATATGAGTATCAATCGCATAGGGTTTGAAAAATATTTATGTCTGAACTATAGTTAGAGGGGTTGCCACATGTTTAAAAAAATCAAACTCAATTGAATTCACCAGTTAATTAAAATAAGTATCGCAATTTTAGACGAAGGATATCTTAGAATGTTTTAGCACGAAACTACTTTTGAAAAGGGTTGCCAGCTGTTTAAAAATCCAACTCAACTTAAATTAAGGTTTGTTGAAATATGCATCAAAATTTGGGTGCCAGATGAAAAAGCTTGACAATTTTTTGAAAATAGTTTCCATCTGTTTGAAATGTCGAATTTTGTTTACTTATACACAAGGTATATGAAATATTAAAATATTTGTGTCAAACTTATCAAGCTTGCCACCACGATAATTCGGTATTCGGTAAACCTATAATAAAATAATTTTACACAAATAGAATACTTGGGAAAGAATTAGCGAACTCCGAGTTACCGAGTACTAAACTCGGTGTGATGGCCCCTAATGACTTTTTGAAGGTAGCCGCCAGGTTAGCTATCTGACAGAAGTCGTACATCGTACATAATAAAAAAGACAGGTTCTTCTTTCTTCTTTTTATAATTTCGATCATAAAATCATATTATCTGTTCAGTACAATTATTTTAATAGAGCATTAAAAAAAGTATTAAAAAAGTAGTAAAGGGATACAAAAAGTTTCCTTTTTCGCCTAACTAAGTACAAATACATGACCGGAATATGAGGGCGGGCAAATAGTTGTTGTTGTGCTACTGATGTCATATTTTTTCTTATTTCAACATGATTTTCTGAGAAAAAAAGAATCTGGATTTATTTTTCATCAGCAGTGCACAAACTACGAAAACCCAAAATACAAAATTTCAAAAACATAAAATTCGAAGTAAAAAGTCTACTCAGCGATTTTTCGAGTACACAGATGCATTGATTTCAAGAAAAAAATGCCCAAGAAGAATGCCCCATTTTTTCACATTTCCTGCAGAAAATCTTCTAGTGTTGCCAGAAGTGCTCAGAGCGAAGATTTTTTCCATGGAATTTCGGTTTCACTTAATATCTTTAATTTAAGATTTTGGCGATATTTTTTTTTTAAATAAGTACATATACACGGTGTCCTTGACCACCCGTGCACCCCCTCTAAAATAAATACAATTGTTTTTTATTGAAAAACGCAAATTTATTACCTAAAAAATCAGAAATGCTCCATCTAATGGTGATACTATAGACTTCGGGTTACGACCGGAATTTAATTAAACTGACCAAAAGTCAATTTTTTGTTATACAAACGTATTTTTACTACGGAGACGGATTCTGACTTTTTTATTTATTTTCTGCTCGGAAGTGCCTTTTCCGACCTCTAAATGACCATCGATCTTCAACTCGTCCTGGACTTCTTAAATTAGTGGTGAACATTTTTTTATTGGTAAGCGAGTAAATATGAATTACGAAGTCTCAGATGCTCTATTTTTAGGCCTATTACCGACTTCCCACAGACCGGAAGTGCATTTCAGATATGTATTTTTATCCGCAGAATCCGAATCTGTGACAAAAACTTGTACGTGCTATTTAACAAAATGGACTTCCGGTCAGTTTAACCACCAAAAGATAGAGCACTCACGATTAGGTAGGTCATACTTTTGCGTTATTTCAAAAAAAAAAAACATTTCCCTCCATTTTAAAGGGGCTGGTGTGGTGGTCTAGGACACCCTGAATAATTTAATGACCGAAAGAATGAAACACAAAATCATTGCATGAAAACAAACGAAACAAAATCTTCTCAGTTTTTCTTTTTTATTACTTCAATTCCAACTGCAAGCGATACATCTGCTCAATGCTACATCGGCGATATATTTGCATTGAACTCGAAATGATAGCCGGCAAGCGTCCGCGACTTTTCGCCGCTATTCCATGCACATATCACGTACATACATATGTATGTGTGAATAGTTGCAAAAAATAGCTTAACAAATAAAAATTCGCACATAAAGCGCGAAAAAGATACTACTTACGCACACAATGCGACTGACCAGCCGCAGCGTCGGGTCAAACAGCCAAAGAGCTGTGCAAATAAAGCGCGCCAAAATCAACAGACTGAAAAACAGACGATTGCGATCCACACACACACACTCACACACGCATTTTGGCTGCGGTGTAGGAAAAAGGACTACGAAACGACAGCAACAATCAACCAAAAAAAAAAACAAAAACGCAACGCTTTCGGTGCGAACCACAATCACCGACTACTTCCTGTTCGCACTTTCTGCATTCCCATTCTGTAAACACCAGTTGCCAGTTGCCAGTTGCTGTTGCTGTTGCAATCGTATTCGTTTTCGTATTTGCATTTTGCGCGCTTATCCGTTTTATTTCAATTTGCAAGCCGCCATGAAATTTTCGTTTTTTACCGCGTTTCCGCCAAATTTGTTTACATCCCGTGTTGTTGAAGCGACAAAGCACGTGGCCGCGTGGCGACGCACATGGACATGGGCATGCATGAATGCAGGCAAACACTTATATATATATATGTACATACATACGTACATATATGACCAAATATATATAATTGAAAGTTTATATGTTGCGCTCTCTCTGCAATGGCGCTCTTTGACGCTTGCGCATCTACCGCTTGCAGTGCTCTTAAATTGCTAATGCATTGCTGAAATATGTATGAATTTATTTACCTACATACATATGTACATCCACCCAAACTTAAACAAGTAAACGACGAAGATAGCAACAGTCAATGTGACGCTGACGTTGGTGGCGTTGATGCTGATGCTGAAGCTGAAGCTGGCGACGTTTGCGTTATCGTCAGCAGCATTTGCTACCAAACGATTTTGACTTTTGAACAATCCCTGACCTATGCCACTATGAACTAAAAACGAACTGTGTATGTGGCATGCAACTAACGAATGAAGCGAATTGTACTAACAAACTTCGAATGCATGTGTAAGATATATTACATGCATTCATATGTACATATGCGTTTGTGCGCGCGTGTGTGTGCTGAGCTGACATGACGGCAAACTCTCCCAAACTTCCGGTCAAAAGCGATTTTCGTACATTAACTCTCTGACATACCACTGCCACTGCCGCTGCCACCCGACTATCTTCCGACTATCCACACGTCAAATGATTAGTGTTGTAACTAACATCCCACTCACTAAGGCTAACAACAGCTATCTATACATACACACATACATACAAACATGCTGCACCTTAATGTAGGTTTGTAAGTACATATGTACATATTTATTACGGTGGGTCGAAAAAACGCACACTTTAGAATGCGGATTCGGCGGTGTGTGGAAAACTTGTATAAACTTAAAGCACAAAAAATTCCATTAACTCAACAGTTGTTTA